CACATTCATGTTAACCATCACTCTGCATCTGATCAGTTTTTTAGGGACTGGGATAGGAGTTGCTCTTAAAATGTGATGTAGCCCAGGGAAGCTGTGGATGCCCCATCCCTGGAAGTGTTCAAGGCCAGGCTGGATGGATCTCTGAGCATCCTGGTCTAGTGGAAGTTGTCTCTGCACATGGCATGGGTTGGAACGAGATCATCTTGAAGATCCCTTCCAACCCAAACAATTCTGTGATTCTATCATTGCATATGAAGAGAAGAAATGTCCCACTCCCTGCAGCCTCACCAGCACTTAGAGCAGATGTTGAAGAGTTTTTGCTAGCAGGGTGCATGAATGGCTTCATCCAGCATACTGTGGGTCTGCTGACACTCTCCTCCTTGATTTCAGCAGACTTTGTCTCAGTTGTAGTTGAGCAAAGCACCTCAGGAATAGCTCTGGGTTAGCAGAGAATTTTCTGCTCTGTTATTCACATGGATTTTTAAACAATGTCCACTGAAATCAATGTCCCTCTTTTCATTAACTGCAGTTGGCTTTGGATCAGGCCTGGGAAGATGCACATCTTCCAGAAATGCCATCGGATAATTTCTTTAAAAATCATTGAACAAAGATATACGACCCATGGGATGATCAGCAGGGAAGAAAGTCCCATCTCTCTTTTATACAGTTGGCTTCCTGCTCATATCAGCAATAATTTAGATAATTAAATTGCTTAGTTCAGTAGTTGGAAGAGGCACAATCAACAAGCTGACTCTACTAAGATGTCAGATGTATTAGTGTGCTGGGTTTTATATTTGTTTTTCTTTTTTGTGTGTGTGTGAAAAGCTGTATAATTGGACACTGTCTTTTTCACCCCCAGCTAACCTCTTCTTCAGAGGAGCATACCAAAGACATTTAAAATCACATTATGAATGCCAGCATAGTTACAACATTTATATGGCATATGGTGATGTTCAGTGGCAGCAGACGAATGGATGAAATCAAGCACAATAATAGAATCAGCCCCCCTTGAATTTAACAGTAAGACAAACAATTCAGTGGTATAATTTAGTAAAATGCAAGTAAGAGCTCGAATATTTTAATGAGGAGTCTAAAGCACATAACTGGGCATACTTTTAACATTCAGCCTTGATTCAGTGGTGTTTGTCCTGTCCCTGTTGGATCTTTGAACTTTTGCACACATGAAGTAGAAAAAGTTTTATTAAATTACACTCCTGAAATGCTCATCTTACTGTGACTCCAGCTTTATTTTGTTTTGTTTTATGAATATTTGTGGCTGAATCACTCCTCTGAAGAATGAAGGAGATCAGAGAAAGTGTTCTGTGTTTTTCCATCTCTCACTCACATGGGTTTTGCTGTTTGTGGCATCTCTCAAACCAGGACAGAAGAGCAGTGTCTGGAGAGGCTGAGATTGGGTATATCCAGAGCCAGTGCAAATTGTTTCTCCCAGAATTGCCATGAAGTTTTCTTCTCTGCCACATTCTCTGTGTCTGCCCCCTTCTATGTCTTTCCTTTTATTTTTTCGAGATGCCACTCCTAAACAAACAATTTTGCTTCTCATTTTGCACAAGAACATTTTTCATCCTTGTTTTCTGAATTGCAGTGTTGAGATGAGAAATCCAAGTTCTCCTTTGGCTCTTTTTTTTTAATCGATGTTTATTGCCCTGCATTCCCCAAAGAGTATTTACTTATTGTTCAAAACTAGAGAGACCTTACCATGGATTCTAACTGACCTAAAACTCTACACTAACCCCCCCAAAAAGCCATTCTGAAGCTGAAAGTTATATAGAACTCATGACTATCTTTTGCATATTGTTTGTTCAGCTGTGAGATGGTATGAATAGCTTTATGCTGTGCCTGTATTTTGAGTGTAGAGAGCTCACTCTAACATTCACTGACTTCCCAGCCAGAATGCCATTCCCACATCATGTTTGCATGTAGCCAGAAGTATTCACTCTCTTTTTTCCCATCAAACTATTAAAAAGACAGACACAGAGTCCACAGCTCAGTAATAAACTCAGACGTGACAGGATTTGTCAGTTCTTTTTGCAATATCCCTTAATGCATCACAAGGGAATCCCAAAGTGATGTTTGTGAAATAAAAAGAAAATGGGAGATATTTTTAAATGATGTACATTGACGTAGGCCTCTTTGAGCAAAATTATTCCCACATGATAGGCTGAACTAAAAATAATAGTAATTAAAAAAAAAAATCCATGTTAGCCATTTGGAAATAGGGTTACATATAGACAATTTCTTAGTCTTGGATCACTCTGAAAACTAAACTGTCTCAATTTTGGCTCCTTTTTGAACTTTTCTCCTAGAAAGGGAAATAAATAGTGATCAGCTGCTGCAATTTCAAACTGGGCTCAGTCTCAAAATGACTGACTGAGGTGGGAAAGAAACAAGCATGGAAAAGCCATAGCTAAAAATATTTTATTTCCAACTTTTCTTATAACACCTCTGAAGACTTCATTGCCATGACATGAGTCCCATTGATGTGAAAGGGGCAATTTTCTGTCACTGGTATATTTGTACATAAAGTAGCTGCAAGTTAAGAGACTTGGTTCAATTCTTCGTGCTATAAAAGTGGATAAAATTATATACTTTGGCTTGAATGCAAGAATAATATTGAACCATAAATGTGTATTAAAGCCACCACAAGTTATGATTATAGATTTTAAGCAGATGTTCTGATTTGATTTGTGGCTTCCCCCCCAACTATTTTTAGCCTAAATGGCTGTTCTGAGACACCTTGCAGCACTCCAAATGCAGAAATGAGTCCTTGAAGGGTTTTGGCAAGGAGGGGAGATGAATGAGGCCTTAGAGACAGAGCCCTGAGGCCTGGCCATGGAGGAAGTCCTTCTGCTGGGGTGGAATCCCACTTGTGCCCGTGAGCCCATCCACCAAGCTGCATCTGCTGCTCACGGAGCCTGAGCTGTTCTGCTGACTGACACCAGCTGGTGCCCTGCTCCTTTTATCCTGGCCTCGTGTGGGTTAGCAGCTGGCCAAGACTGTTTTTAAGAATGTATTTATAAAACTTCACAGCCGTGCAAGCCCAGATACGGAGCAAGGACGTTTTGAGCCCAGCACTGGAAGCGCAGGGTGTCTCTTGGCAGATCTGGTTTCCCAGCTCTTGCTGCTGCCACGAACCTGCTGTCCCATCACTTGCACCCAAAAACAATGTTTCCTAAAAAAAATCCAGGGGAGTAAAAACCTTGGGCTGAAGGCTCCCACAGATATTTAAAGTCATGCCTGTCCTGATCCCACTGCAGGCAGCTGCCTGATTGGTATTTCAATAACGTGCTTATTTAGAAGGAAATTCTAACTCCTGTAGGGCACAGTGGTATTTTCATGCCTTTTTTACCCTGCAGACTTTTCCAGCTGGCTCAAACCTGAACACCTCACTGTCTGGTAGGGACACCGTCTGGCTGAGGTGTAAACTACAGCACCTGATTGTGTCCTTATTTAGGGTTGGTACATGAATAAATATGATTTTTTAAAAAAACTTTCTTGTATTTATGTTCCACTGCTGGCAGATACTTCCAAATTTTATTTACAGTGAAGGGTTTATTATATGTATTGCTTTTCTCCTTGTCTGCATATGATACAGACTTCTGAAAATAACCTGTTTTTTATCTTTTGGAAAGAGCCTGTATTTTTTGTGGGGATAAGGATTTATAGCGACATCTTGACAACTTCGTAAAGTTTTTTCCCCTTTTTAATTTCCTAAACCAGCACAACATGCTGAGATACATGGTAGAGATAGGCCCAACATCTGACTGATCAAAACGGGTTTTGAACAAATGCTGACGCCACCATTCTTCCTGTCTGTAATTCCCATAGAACATTATTGCTTTGAAAAGAAATACCCTAGAAGGCATAATTGACTCTGCAGCAATGAACTACATCAGACAGTGTCCCCTTCATGACTTCTACCCAGCTATCAACAGTGAGAAGCAGACGTGCATGTTAAAAGACTGAGAAGGAAGAACTTCCCCAAGAAAATGGACAAAGAAATCATTAGAATCCTTAAAGAGGATAAGAAAGAATCAGAAGATGGGAAAAAGTTTTTGAAAATAATGCCTCAGGCAGTGAAAGCTGCAGAGTGGAAGCTGCACACCTTCTGGGTGTGCAAACAGTAGATCAAACTGCATTGACATTATGATATAATAAAAAATAATAAAACAAGAGCAATAACAGATTTTTTTTTTAAGTGTCGATCTAGTGTTAGAAAACACAGCTTAACTTTTAACAGCCCAGCCACTTTGCCTGGCTTCTTACAACACCTTCTGACTTCAGTGACTCCACTCAAAGTCAACCCAAACTAAAGACCTTATATTGAAGATAACCCAGAGCTTTTGCACATCTTTAAGCTAAATAGTGGAAAGACATGTTTTGAAACTGCTGAGTTCACTCCTATAGAGAAAGACTGATGGCAACAAATACATACATGAAAGCAGTGGTGTATTTTTAGCATTTGTCATTTTTGGGCCTCCAGAACTGAAAGCAGTGATGGGTGAAGTGGCAACGGGTTGTGTGTGTGATTTGTAGTGGTTTGTATCTGGGCTCTGTGTTGTGTATCTCCTAATGATGAATGCGTGGGAGGGCCAGGTCAGGAATGGTTTCCACTCCAGTGCGCTGATTGTGTAGTTGGCAGTGGGCTCAATTAAAGTATAATAATCTGGTAATCTCTCTCCTGTTTCCATTCAGCTGCTTCACAGTGAATAGAGCCAGTGAACGAGTATAGCTTTTGAAAAGTAGGTGAACTCCTGCCTCTTTGTCTGAGCAGTTTATGTCTAGTCAAGTAAAATGACAGGCAGAAGAGGCGACTCTCCAAAACGCTGCTCTCATGACTTGCATCATTACTGCCGTTTGTGCTGCTGTGAGATAACACTCGCTCTTTATTTCCCTTTCCAGGCTGCGGGTTGGATTTCGAGCAAGCTTCGCACCCCGGAGAAAAGACGAGCTGATGTGAGAAAGGAGATATGGATACGCCCATGGTGGGAAGATGCCGTGTGCCCCATCTCTTGGTTCTTCTCACGTTGGTGCTCAGCGGGGACAGAACCGAGGCACAAAGAGCAGGTACGCGTTCCCTTCGCTGCCTCACGCCCCGGAGCTGCTGGGCTCTCCCATGGCTGGGAAGCCATCAGTTCTAGGAGGAAATCTATAAACAACCCAAGACATTTACTGCTGGAAATACGTAAAACAGACCTTAGGGATGGAGAAAGCTCAGGGGTCAAGGCTGTGATTTACCTGGGGTCTTTGGTTCTGCTGCAGGCTTAGAAAGTTTAGCTCAGCTACCCACAGCAAGAGGAGCAACTCACCACAGTTTGCTCTGGATATGCTCCATCTACCCCACACTGGCATGGAGATCACTTCTTCCATCGTCTCCTGTGGGTGTCAGATGAGACCTGGTGAATCTTCTGCCTGGCTGGGGCTTTCCTATGAGCTAAACAGGGCCAGAGCACTGTTCATACCCTCCCTTGACTCCAGACATTTGAAGGATACATTGATGTCGTGCTTAGGGACATGGTTTAGTGATGGACTTAACAATGTTGGGCTAATGGTTGAACTTCATGATCTTAAAGGAGTTTTCCAACCTAAATTACTCTAGAATTCTATGTTTCTCTCCTGTCTGGTTATTAGCATGGTCTCTGGCACAGCTTTTGTCCTGGGCTCATGAACACCCTGCCCCAAATATCAATGAGTGCATTAGAGGATGGAGTAGCTGAGGGACTGTTCTTACAGGGATCCTTGACAAGGACACGTTGGTTTTTGTGTGTCAGCAAGAAGAGCTATCTGGCATCAGTGATGCCACACCTCAAATGAAAAAATGGTTGTAGACACACACAATTTTTTCATAAGAGTCCAAAGACATTTTGAGATGGAGATTTTCTGTCTCTTTTTCTAGGAAAGATGCTATTCTGTGGGCTTGGTAATTTATAAGAAAGGAAAGACTTTTTTAGACCTTTTTCATTTTAAGGAATAGCTTCTTTACATCTTTCTTATGTGATTTCTCTATGGCTTTTTTGGGTGAAGTTTACCAGAAATAAATACTTAGTAACCAAACAAAGTGAAATCTCACTTTTTTTTTTTCTGCTTCTGGACCTGTCACAGGCAGAATATAGTGAAGCCATTTATATGTTCATTCTGTGCTTACTTTAAATAATTTTGGGTTTATGGCTTGTTTGTGAACTATTTTTAAAGGAAATATTGCAAAACAGTTGGTTCAGTGTCTGAGTAGATGAGCACAACTCCTTGAATCATGCTCCCAGAGAGCATTTCTGCAATTACAAAACTGAAATTTTGCTCTCTATGAGTTATCTCCCATATTCCCTTAACATGAACAGAATTGTTTCTGCCAGTAAAAAGTACTGTTATGGCATTCTTGGAAAACAGTCAATTTTGTCCAGCAGTAGACATTAGAGTGCTGAAAATGCAGATTAATATTTACTAAAAGCATTTCTGCAGCATTTCATCTCACTGCCACCAGGTCTGCAAGCAAAGAATTACCAACGCCAAAAAAATAATGATCCTGAAAGACCATGTTTTTCCTCCCTGCAATACTGCCTTGAATAGGCATCACTTTTTAAACCTTAACTCCCCCTTGTTTTAAGGCTCATTGCCCTTGAACACAGACAGGATTCATTCTGTCTGTTCTGTTTGTTTTGAAATTGCTGTTGTCTCACCTGCTGAGAGTCATTAAAATAAGTAACAGGAAGGTCTTGTGGGTGTTGCTCTCTATTTAGTCTCACCTAATTAACATTCTTTCAGCCAGAATAGATTAATATAATAATGAATTTAGGAAGGAAGCAAGGTAGGGAAGTGTAAGCTTCTTTCTTACCTTTTACTGTTAATATTTTTACCTTTTATATTCTCCAAAAATCAAGCAGAACCACAACTGAGGGCCCAGCTGATATACACAGCTGTAACTTGCATGCCACAACATAAAATGGTATAAACCATCATCTCCACTCTCAGATTGCCTTCGAGAGAGTTTCCCCAGACAGACTTTTCTTGCTCTGGAGTTAGTGGACAAGCACTCCCTCACTCACAAAATGCCATCACAGAACACAGTCCCACATGCAGGTTTTGGCTGGGATACAGTTAATTTTCCTCACAGTAGCTGCTCTGGGACTGTGCTTTGGATTTGTGCTGGAAACAGTGCTGATGACACAGGGATGTTTTTGTTACTGCTGAGCAGAGCTCACACTGAGTCAAGGCCTTTTTATTCCTCCTCCCACCAGCCAGGAGGTTGGGGAGCACAAGAAATTGGGAGGGGGCAAAGATGGGACAACTTCCCCCAACTGACCAAAGGGATATACCAAACCATATCATGCTCAGAAATAAATCTGTTGGGGGGACACAGCTGGAGACTCCTGCCTGGGAACTGTGACTCAGTTAGTGGTGAACAACTGTTTTCATTTGCATCACTCCACTTTCTTGGCTTTTATTTATATCTCTTTGTTATTTTGTTTTAATTACAACTTCATATTTTATTTTATTTTTTTTTAAATTTTATCTATTAAACTTTCTTCTCTCAATCCGTGAGTTTTCCGCCTTTCACCTTCCCAATTCTCTTCCCCCCAGTCCTGCTGAGGGCAGTAGTGAGGGGCTGTGTGGTGCCTAGTTTCCAGCTGGGGTTGAACCACAACAACAGATTGTTTCCAAAGAGATCCCCTGTGGATGGGCTGGTCACAGTGTGATCCCAACCCGTGTGCAGAGGCTGTTCCCACAGGCCCAGCTGGGATGTACTGGGATGTGCTCTGCTACAGAAGTCAATGCAGCAGCAGGTGATGCTCATTTCTCATCACCTGCCACACCCCAGGTGTACCTCCAATCACTCTCATGGTCATCATGCAATGCCTTGAGCACTTACCTACTCTTTTATAATGCTTTTAGTCTTTTCTGAAGGCAAATCCTCTCTGTGTAGCTGAGCTATCCACTCCCTCCTTTCCAGAGCCATGGGCTGTAGTGGAAATCTTTCATTCTGGGCAGGGTGACAACCCTGGGATGAGCAAAAAAGCCAGAGCTAATTTGTGTCAAAATCTGAGTGTGAGAGAAGATTTTGTGACTTTCCTGTAGGTTTGAATGTTGGAATTCAGTAGGAAATATGTAACTTTACCACTGGTCAACCATGCAGTTGTACTTTTTGAGACAATGTGAGACAAGAACTTCTGGAGAAGCAATGGTTGGCAGCTGTGACCAAACTGACTTTGTAGAGAAGCTTTCAGTCTTAAAACTCTATGTTCTATAATAATGGTTTAAATAAATATAAGCATATTTATATACATTTTGTCCAGTTGGGGCATTATATTGATAACTCTTGGGCATCAGTGGCACATATATGGACCTACTGCTTCCTCACTTGCATGTATCCAGAAACAACTAAAAAACATCTCCTGAGAGATCTACTTTTTTTTTTTTTTTTTTTTTTTTTTTTGTGTCTGACAAATATGCAACCAGTCTGGATGATATAGGGCAAGCAAGTTGCAATTAAAATAGCTTTTTGTTTTGGATTATACAGGCCTCACATTGCAAATATCATGGTTGGAGGCAAAGGGATGGTTGTGGGGGTAAGTGAACTTTTCCCTCACAAGGCAGCTGCCCTTTGTTGTTGTGGAACACATTCCAAAATTCAGTAAGTCATCCTTTGGTCAAGAGGCAGTGGCAGAAAGCCTCAAATTTGAAATAATCTTGTTATAGACTTGCTACCTCAACATATCATGCTGGGAAAAAGAACTGCTTCTAGCTAAGCATAAATGAATCATAACATTAATGCAAGAGGGGACATGAAAGCTTCATTACTCAGGGTCAGGATTGGCATAGGCAAGGTCAGGACAGGGCTTTTGATCTGCCCAGGTCATTTCAGAGCACTGCCTGAGCAAAGGCACTGCAATGAAGTCAGAGAAAATATCTTCATGCAGCGGGTGTAGCTGAAGGATTGAGCAGAAGTAGTTAGAAGCAGAGGAATGGAAAGGGTTTGTATTTCAAAGTGAGGTCTGTGCTGCTCTCTAGATGTCCTGAAACTGAGGAGGTGAATCACAAGGAAGAAGGGCTGGGAATCTGCCCTTCCTCTGCTGGATAAGGAGAGGGTTTTCTGCCTCCTCCAAATTGCTCACTAGGGAGCTGTGTCAAGGGAAGATTTGGTATGTCTGCTCCTCTGCATTCATCTCCCCTTAACAATACGTTCTGCCACTCTTGCAGGTTGCAAGAGTGTTCACTATGACCTTGTCTTCCTCTTGGATGCCTCCTCCAGCGTCGGAAAAGAAGATTTTGAGAAAGTTCGTCAGTGGGTGTCTAATTTGGTGGAAACCTTTGAGATTGGCCCAGACAAAACCCGCGTCGGGGTGGTGCGATACAGCGATCGTCCGAGCACAGAGTTCGACCTGGGAAAGTACAAAACCCGTGAGGAGATCAAAGAGGCTGCACGACAGATCCAGTATTATGGGGGTAACACGAACACTGGAGATGCTCTCAGGTACATCACCACCTACAGTTTTTCCAAAGAAGCCGGTGGGAGACTTAGTGATCGAACTGTTAAAAAAGTGGCTATCCTTTTGACTGATGGAAGGAGCCAGGATTTTGTCTTGGATCCAGCCACTGCAGCCCATCAGGCTGGGATTAGGATTTTTGCTGTGGGTGTTGGAGAAGCCTTAAAAGAGGAACTTGATGAGATTGCTTCAGAGCCCAAGTCTGCTCACGTGTTTCATGTCTCTGATTACAACGCCATCGATAAAATTCGCGGGAAGCTGAGGAGGCGCCTCTGTGAGAGTAAGTAGAGCTTTCCTTTCTGCAGAATTAGAATAGGTTCAGTTAGCATAGATATGAATATTAGATATGCTAATTTCATATAGATATGAAAAGCTATGATTGTTTTCTTTCATGCCTCTTTATTTTTGTGTCTCCTCCTCAGTTCTACTCTGTAAGAGATCACTGTTCAAGGCCAGGCTGGGTGCAGTTTTGACCAGCCTGATCTAGTGGAGTACTGCTTATGGCAGGGATTTGGAATTAGGTGATCTTTAAGGTCCCTTCCAACCCAAAGTATTCTCTGATGTTGTGATTCTATGATTTTACTACAGGAAATGTGATGGGGTTCTCTGGCAACTCAGTATTAATTATAGGTCAGCTTCCACAGTAAACCATGAATTCCCTTTTGGTTCTTATATGGTTCAACTACTTTATAATAATTTGGACTACTGAATATGTATAGTGATGTCTGATTTATATCCAGATTTTGGTTTACTTTGTGTAGGACCCTTTTCCCCCTCATTTTCTGGCACTGTATTGTGAAGAGAATGCTCTGGATGCTGCTGGGGATGATCCTTAAGGAAACAAAGGGATGTTTGTGCTTTTCTGCCTTTTTTCAGCATCTCAACTCTACTGACAACTGGTGTTCTCTAGTGCTCTGGCTGCCAACAGCACAAGCATTGGTGATGTTTGAATGACTTTTAATGGAGAAAAGTGTGGGGGAATTGCACTGCATAAATGACCCTGATTTTCCAACTCCTTGATGAAGAGGATGGGAATGGCGTTGTGGCTGCTATCTCCCAGCACTTTAAAAGGAACAACAATCACACACCTTGTTCTTCCACCACTGATAAATCACTCTCTTGTTCTTAGTGACTACATGAAAGCTGCTTGGTTTTGCTGCTTTTTTTGCATTGTGTGTGGTGATTACTGTGAACAGGCCTCGTAGTTGATGTTGTGAAGATCTGTTATTGCTTTCTGTGACCTCCCTTTGTAAAAAAATAAAGCTCTGGGCTTATGTAGGGTCCTTAGAGAGTGACAAGTGCAAGCAGGCAGAGTTTAGTTGACATTACCCAGCAATATCAAGATGTTTCTGCTTTTACAGCCTAAACATAAATGGGTAATGGACGGTGTAATCCCAAACAAATGGAAGTCATGGGGAATAATAACCGTAAGCTATGCAGGCTGAAGGAGCTTGGTTTTTTTCTGTGAAAATCTTGTGTAATCATACACACAACTGGGCTCTAGCAGCAAATGGTAAACCCTTCCAAGTGGCACACTTGAACAACTCAACTAACTTCCTGTTGCAGCTGTTGAACACCAAAAATGTGATTTTCCTTCGCCATTCTGTTACTTTCCTTTTCCAAAGCAAGTGGAAAGTAACAGAATTTACTGTGACTCTACTCTGTACCTGGGGACATAATTTGTTGCCTGCTCAAAAAAATCTTTTACCTGCCTGTCAGAGTATAATACCTTCTGTCTGTGGCTTTTTGAGCCCATCCTGTGTCCAGCATAACACTTCTCCTTCCATTGCAAAGGATCACTGGGAGCATCCTTCATCCTGGATGACAGTCACTCTCCAAGGTGTCACTGCACTGGTGAGCTCAGTGAGAAACGGGGGCTGTGCTCAGTTCAGCACACATCTCTGCTGCTCCTTCCTCCTAGCGGGGAGGACTCCTCACACTCTGAGGAGGCATCAGCTCCTCCCTCCATATGTCCACAGGTCCTGCCAGGAGTTTTCTCCAGCAGGGGCTGGGTCACAACCTCCTTCAGTCATCCACCTGCTCTGGTGTGGGTCCTGCAGGGGCTGCAGGGGGATCTCTGCTCCCCCATGGACCCCCCTGGGCTGCAGGGGCACAGCTGCCTCTCCATGGGCAGCACCAGGGGCTGCAGGGGAATCTGCTCTGGCACCTGGAGCAGCTCCTGAGCCTCCTTCTGTACTGGGACTACTCCTCTCTCATAGTCCCACTTCTCACCTCTGACTGCAATTTCTCCTGCATAGTAACTTTTTACCCTTAAATACACAATCCCAGAGTCTTCCCTGAATTTTTTCTTCCTGTATTTAAACCAGGGAAGGTGCTCTTTAGCAGAATCAGAGTTATCATACTTATTTAATGTATTGCTTTGCATGCAGAAAGCTTTCAAGAGGGATGATGTATAGATCAGGTCTAAAAAACCATGAAAATATTGCTGAAACAGAGGATGAGGTAATGAGAGCACCTCCAGCAGAAATATTCTGTTAGAGATCAGTTTGTTTTTTTGTTACCTGCATGTGTGAGGTAGAAATGCTTTGGGGGGGTGAGAGAATGGAGATGGAGAACAGAACCAAGTGATTTCTTGTGCATGTACCGCTTTTAAATTCCATGTTCATGCAGTAGGAACAGGAAAGGAGTTCACTGTGATGGCTGGGCCTACTACATGTTTAGAAGATCAAACTTTTAACAGCTGGTGCAGTCAACTTTCAGTGGTTTTAATGACAGCTCTGCATAAGACATGAACATACAAACCACAGGGTGGGTGGAAAACGTGACCAGGGCTCATGCCAAGCTGCTGTTTATTTTGTGCACATTCTGAGACAAAAGCATATATTGCCACAGCCAGGCTCTGGTTTTAATAGACATAATCCTGTGTAAGCTCCAAGGAGACACATGAATCAAAGGGCGGAAATAGGAGGAAGTTGTTTTTTTTTTGTACTGACCAGTGATGAGTCCTCCAGCCCTGATACTGCTGCTGAAATGTAAAGGGTTGTGAAGTGTTGCAAATTCTGGATTTCATGCCAGCTGTTCAGAATTGCTTGTCTCAGGTCTCCCTGGACATCTGGCTGAGACGCTGTCATTTCATCTTGCTATATTTGACTGAATTTATTGCTAAGAAGATGTCATTGAGGGCATTAATAGCATTTTATCTCCCATTTGATCTTGTGGCAGTAAGCATAGCATAATAAAAAAACATGTCTGCTCAGTAGGACATTGTGGCAGGGGGAGATATTTTTGCCACACATCTCCATTACATTCTGGACTATAGTTGGCTGGCAAGAATGGTTGACGCTTTCACAGGAAAGCAGGAGAGATACATTCTGCTAAAAATTCCAGAGATGCTACATGTTTCCTAAATACAGTTCCTGCTTATATGTTGTAGGGATAACAACAGGCAGCTATGGAATATTTAAAAATATACTAGGCCAAAGGACTGTCATCACATGAATCTCAGATACTTTGCAAACAGAAGGAGATGAGGCTGAATTGTTTCAATAATGAGTTGGTACCACTGGTTTGTCATTGATTTCTGTTGATTTAGTGAGGTCTGTGATAAGGTATCAAAAGCAGTCACGTGTCCAGATTATTCACTACATTTATATTTCTATTTCTATTTTTACATGTCTTTGTTGACTTTGGGTAGTGTATGAAGTGCATAAAATATAAAACATGCTATCCCTATTCTGTTACTGATGATGAAGGGCTTCCAGCCTTCAAAGCAACACCTTGAACATCCATCAAAAGGATAGTCTGAAAGCTTCAGAAATGTCTGTTTCTGAGGTTGTCTTTGCCCAGGTTCATGATATATTCACAGAAGAACAGCAAGCTGTTTCTTTTTGGCCTTTAGTGTTAAAAATACCTCATGCACAGAGACCATGACAAAGGCATCTGAATTGCCATTTCTTGATTGGCACTTCCTAACAGACTTATCAGTACAGTCAAATCTCACAAAAGTACTGAAATACTGGAACATATCAACACCTAAGGGTATATTCCATATTTTGCTGGTTAAGAAGATGTCCAGATTAAGTGTAGGTATTAAGAATTTGACCATCACTTGAAAATCTAGTGGCTTTCAGATGGCTTTGGAATCTGTTAAAAGCTCAGCAGACAACTGCTGCTTTTTAAAAAGCTGCAGCTGGGCAGTGACCCAGCTGATGTCACCTCTGATATGTCCTGCTGCTTCTTGATGCTGCACTCCCACAGCTGTCGTGGTGGCTTTCTCAAGCTCTGCAACATCTCCATCTTCCAGCAATCACTGACGGTACAGATGACAGGATCACTCATCCTTTCATCACCACATTTGCTGGCTAATTGCAGTTTCCTGTGAAGGCATGAATGGTCTGTGACAGAATTTCCAACTGATTTATGCTTTACTTGAAACTAAAGGAAAAAAAATCACTTTTCATGGATGTGAGGAGACAAAATGTGTTTAGTGGTGATCTGCCATTTAGTTGAGCGACTGTCTGATATCTTTTGGCTCCAGGGAGCACAGCACAGATATTCAGATATTCATTTTCTCTTGCAAAACTTTTTATTTTCAAATCAAATGTCTGAAACTCTCAGTTTTAATTTTGCACTTGGTCTAGTCATCACCAGCTTAGAGAGAAATGGTTCCAGAGCTGGTGTCTGGCAGGCAGCTTTGAACTCTGTGGATGAGCTGTGGCTGCTGGTTGTCCCTCACTTTCTCCACAGATCATGCAGAAGGGATTGTTCTCCCAGATCATAACTACAGCTCTGTTCTGGCACTGTAATCTCCACATCATTTAAATGCTGCATGTCCAAAGAAGGCATCTAAGCTGGTGCAGGGTCTTTATCATGAGTCCTTTGAGTAGTGGCTGAGGGAGCTGGAAGTTTAGCCTGGAGGAAAGCAGCTGAGCTGGAATCTTATTGTTCTGTACAACTCCCTGAAATCATGATGCCTTAAATTTCTAGCTTTTGTATTTTTCAGGTCCTGTACTGCATTAGTGTATAACTGAACTCCATTTAGGGTGTTAGTAGGGTCTCTTCATATTTTGTTCAGACAAAACAATCCTTCCAGTCCTGACAGCCAAGGACAGCCTCAGCCTCAGACCCCAAAAAGCACAAACAAAAGTGAATTGGGGGGAAGCAATCTGGGGGAATATGACTTCATTACCTGAAGCTGTAATTGGACAATTAACCCCTGATATGCTAATGGACCAACATATCTGTCTGAAAAACTCGTGACCATTGTCCATCTTTGGTGTAGCCTCTGTGAGGATTTTGCACTGGTCAAACTCTATCTAT